TTATGTTTTCAATTTGGTGCAGTAGGCTATAGTAATACCTAAATGAACTTTTCAACTGGAACATAAAGAAATGCTGTTTGATTCCCAGAGTAACTTCTTGTGAAAGGGAGTGTCTGATTTTTGTTTTTTTTTTTTCCCTCAGCATTTAGTAACAAGTTCAGTTTTATTAATAGTTTTTTTAATAGGTTCCCTAATCTGACACCTTAAAAAATGATGTCATATACTTTGCTTCAGTTGACTAGCTGTATAAATTCCAGTATTTTATTGTGGATTTCTTAACCTGCTATTGTTCTGAAAGAACAACTAAGATGACCTGTTCATTTAGATGATTCTTTTTAAAATTGTCTGTGTGGTAGTATACTTTTTGTATTACTCGTACAGTAGTATAATTTCCTATTATAATTCCTATAACCTACTGTAGCTTGGTGTGTACAGGTCAAAAGCATATGGAGAATAGATTGAGAGGTACCTTGAGCTCTCTGCAAACATGCCTGTGAGTGCAGCTGAGCATCTTGTGCATTTTACATGTTATTCAAATGAAAGCAAATAAGGAAAATGGGAGAGATGCTTGTGTGTGTAATTCAAAAAGGAGGATTTACTTCATCACAACTATATAATTCAAGATCATGTTTCTAGCTGTGGCCTTTGGGTTATTATATAAGGGGAGGAAAGATGCTGGGTCAGAAATGATGGAAATTTTTATGGTCTGAATAAGCAGAGTGAAGAGTATACCAACAGTTCACATAAGTGTTCTACCAATATGTTTGCATGGTTGCAGTTGCTTGTGACTGTCCCTGAATATCAGTCTTGCATATGCTCAAACTTTGATTCTGAGGGCAACCTAGCACACAATATGAAATGCAGTGCTTTAGGTCTATCTTAAATCAGAAAAGCAAGGAGAAGTGAAGACTAACTTCAGTGTTGGTAAGCAGTTTACAAATTGAAGATAAATGTTGTTTGGCATAGGAGAGTGATGCCTTAAATGAAGGACTCCAGATTCAAATGTGCTTTAAATCTAAACATGCAAAAATTTTCTTGTAAATATACAGTTCATTAGTTCATGTTCTGTATGAGCAATTTTTAAATTTCTGCTGTACTTTTGTGAGACCACCTGAATACTGTTTATGTATTTAGTGTCATGCAGTACATAGGAATTACTGAAAATGTGTGATAGGAATATTGCATTTCTGGTAGTGCATCATGCCTTTCAGTCTGTCAGTGGCTGCAAAGGACTTAGCAGTATGTCTGAGCAGATCAAACAAATGTGTAAAGAAGTGTGGTTAGGGACTTGATTCTTCCTTCTCCAGCCCTTCTATAAGCTTGGACAATGTTTATAGTGTTCTGCAGCTCTTGAGCAGCTCTTGATCATCCTGGGATCCATGTCCAACAGGAAACCCTTATTGTCAGCTCACATAAGAGTTTATAGAGATGTTCCTATGCTCTTCTCTCTCTGCAGTGCAATACCAAAATATAAAATCTGGTTAAAAAATGGTTACAACTTAGCTGTAGGGAAGTTTTGAAGCCCTATAAGCTCTCTATGCTGTGTAACAGTGTGTATGCTTCTAGTTTTGTATGTTACATTTAATCTTTTATTTTTGTTCAGATGATTGAGATAAAGTATACTACATCTTTAATTTTTTCCCCTCAAGAACTGTTTTCTGTGAAGTTGAAATCAGTATTTCTCTTTGATCATTTCTAATAATTTCTTAAAAAAATCCTTTTTTTCGCTGGCATGATAAAGTTGCTATTGTGACTAGAAGTCCTTTGTTAATGAGCATTAAGGTTATGGCTAGTTATAGAAATTAAAGATAGGTTGCAGAATGAAGATTCAGGTTTTTTACAAGAAATTGTGATATATTTAAATGGAAGTGTTTTTATTACAAAAGGAGTCTTGTTAGTGATGTAACTTAAGCCTTCCCCAGCAAAGCAGGCTGATCTTACTTGCTGTGGTATTTCTCCTCAAACCGCCTAGTGTTAACACCAGTGAGAGTAACTTGACTTGGTGTATGTTAGTCACTATGTTGGCAGGGGATGGAGCATCTGTGCCAGTAAATCTTGAGCATTTACATAGTCTTGCAGGCTTTCCTAAAGAATACATGTGACCTTTTTTTATAAGATGATTGACTATGTTTATCTGACCATAGCTGCTCTTATTGATTGTCTTTTGGCTACCATTGTTTTCCCTACCGATTTACAGCTAGTGCATGAGTCCTCTTTTTAGAGGATGGGTAGAAGAATCCATTATGATAGGGCTTTA